ATTGCGGAATCAATCATATTTTGCATCGTAGTCAATAACCATTCAACGAGCACGCATTTTGCACAGAAAAGAGCATAACTCGACCCGAAATAATGTTTACCAGCTTTTAACAGCATATTTGCAAACAACGGTTCAAGCGGATTCCAAATATACAGGGCTTATCAAATGCAAAGTCGTGCACCAGCATCTCCTCTCTCGCGCGTTCGTCTCGCCTGGACTCGGCACCTCCTTCGCGAAGATGCTTTCTGATTTACCATCTTTCTACCACGACCTTGGGAAAGGAGGACGATTATCCGCTAAGCATGCGAAAACGATTAGGGAACATACTTGCGGAAGAAATGCAGAGTCTAGGCGAAGCGGCCGCACTGGAGCGGAAATGCTGATGCACATGACACGGCAACTGATAAGGCTGGTGCACCCGACATTGCAATTGATAAGCCCTGTATGTCTCATCTTAAGAGACGAAGCCAAGTTGGTACTTTTTTTGTTCACATACCTAGACGCTTAAAGGCACCGTCTACCCAAAAATTCGATTTCGAGTTTTTGTTCTTTTTCGTACTTCTTGAGCACGCTGAATCTGAATCCAGGCATAAAATCGAAAGAAACCTCCAAAATTCTGGGTTTTGAACGTCATTCGGAATTCGTCGTAAACGTCGCCTGGCAGCCGGCAGGGTAGGGACGCAGAGGAGCGCTGCGTCCTTGTTTAGCGCACTCGTGTATCCGTTTCTGTTTTTCCGTTTCCGTTCTATTTTTTGTTCCGTGCTGCTTATTTTGTGATATTCCATCATAACTCATATTTGTAAGCGTTGTTGTTGCGTTGTTTGTTTGTACGCTTATTTTTGCCTACAAGATGTCAGTGAGCGCGCCCTGCATAGAGTGTGTCTAACCGTGCGGTGATTGCTGACTCTTGCTGTCTGCTTCGAGCTTTCGCTAAAGGGGGCGGAACGAACGTCACGCCCACTCCAAGGGGGGAGGAGCCAACGTGGCGAACGTCACCTGAAGCGATTTCCGAAGCAATTTTCTCGCTTCGGAAGCAACTTTAGGCAGCGCGAGTTGGGCAATCATACAGTCGGGGGCCCCGCAGCTGCTGGGTATCATAATCTCAGCAACCTCAATTTGGGTGGACGGTGCCTTTAAGCTGCGTTCATAACTGATTTCGTAATCCGGGAACAGTCTCAGCACAACGCTAACTTTGAGCGCTGTGCTGGAACTGTTCCCGAACTTCGGGATCAGTATGAACACAGCCTTAGATGCTTAGACGGCCGTCTTTGGACGTGAGCCCCAGCACAGAAGTTTTCAGTGATTCCTGCTCCTCGCTTCGAATATCCAAGATTTTCTTGGTTGTTTTCGGTGGCTACGTCCGCGAGTTCCAAAATCGTATCCAGCTGACATCTTAGCTGGTTTCTTGTTCCAAAAACACTCATCTCCTTGGAGGTTTTTGCTCATCTCTTTGAAGGTTTTCTTCGGGAAGGTCTTGCTTCGCAATCCACTCTGTTGTTCTTGGTATCTCTGTCTGCTCTTCTCTTGATGTAACCGGCCCATCGATATTTCGCTTTCGCAGCGTATTCCGCTGGATCACGAAGACGGGACATTCTTCTCATACTAGTACTGCGAAGTCCGACAAGATACTGTGTCGGGTCATCTTTAGAAGACTACGCTCTAGCGCTCTGTGAGTGGTCCTTGAAGCTTTCGACGTGGCTACAGTGTCGGTTCATGTCTCAGCTGCCTAACAGGCGCCGAGAGAACGGTTGAGTCGAACAGGTGGGCACGAAGCTCTGGGTTCGTCAGCTGGTCGTTGGCTTTCTTCAAAGGCCCGTAAGCGGCTCATGCTGCTCTCTTCCTCTTTAATTTCTTCCCTCAAGTCGTTTCTCATGTTTATGGAAGCGTCCGAGATACACAAGAGAAGAAGTCTCTGTAATAGGGGTGCATTCCAATTTCTTTCATTCTTCGCGAAGGCTTTCCTTATAAACTAGGTTTTCTTCCGCTTTATTCGCAGTGACATTCTTTCCCACTTCGTTTAGTTCCTTCAGCATACTCTCTGCTTCATTGGTACTGCTCGAAAAGAGAATTTATAACATTCTTTTATCAACTCGTATGCCTCTCTCGTCTCAGTCAATGACTTCATCACCCACTGCAAGGCCGCGATGAACAGCTTCGGCGAGATTGTGTCGTCCTCTCGGACCCCTTTCCCAACTTTCCCAATTGGGACGTCGAGGGGCGATGGAATAGCTGCGCCGCTAAGGTCCTCAGGATAGAGTTGGTCTTTTGCCAAAGGTTTCAATTATAGACAAAGATTAGCACGGGCGCACTGGGTATTCCATGACCCTCAAAACCTTCTGAATGTGTTCCATCTACGCAGTGAAACCGTTGCGGAATTCAGCTTGCTTATGGGAGTTGAGCTTCCAGCGTTCTAGATACGCGAAAACAATCTTTGTAAACTTGTGCAACACACAGCAGGCATATCAGACGGTGGTTCCGAAAATCCTCCCGTTCGACCTATTTGAAGAAAGTGACCGTTCTCAAACTTTTCCAATGGTCAGGAATCCTTATGAGCGAAAAGGTTGGTGTAAAAGTTTTTCGCGACAGACTCCATTATATCGGGAAGAAGTCGGGGTACCGTTTTCGCTCAATAATGATGCGGCCAGCAGCACTGATGTTCGCAGACTTCCCTTCGGGACTTCTCGAGGCTTCGTCTTCCTTTGGATCCTTCCGTTATTTTGGCTTGACTAACCAATAGCTCGGTTGATGGCTAAGACGCCCAAGATCTTCTTACGTCGCCTTAGCTGAGCTGGGATGAGGAAGGTTTACTACGAACCTTCCTCTTCCTGACAGTGCCATGGTGTGTCAAGCGTTTTCAAGGACTTGAGTAGTAGAAGCATTTGCAGCTTTTGAAACAACTCACAAACAGAACATTTGTGATCCAATGGTCATCTTTAAGACAGTAGATGTTTGCGAAGTCGAGTTTAAATAATCTCTTGCCACTGCCTTTTTATGGGAAGTTATGAGCGCCATTTATTAGACATTGTATTTCCTATTAATAAACCTCGCTCGAAGCTGCAATTTAAGAGTGGTGATCAAGGAATATACTGTACAAGGAGTTCTTTGCCCGGTAGTCTCCAACAGAATTTCAGTCGAGTAGATTTTCTACGGTTGAATTTATGCCAAAAACCGCGTACAATTACGTAAAAGTAAAGCAGGTATGGAGAACAGATCTATGATAAGTTCTAGTTGAATTCGCCTAGAGACGCAGTTTTAGATGGTCAGTTCGACTAGAAACATTCTGATTAGCCAGCTTTCCCTCTTACTTGTGAAAATATGAACTCCAATCTACTGTACTACAAAGTTTTATCTGCATTTCACCTCTGAGTGAACGCTAGCCACAAATTTTGCATTTGATGGCATTGTCTCACAGTCATGGCAAAGCCTAGGTCTCAGGATTTTGGTGGACTATAAGCCTTCGTGACAATCTCGATATGGGCTAAATTTTTATAAAAATTTGAAAACCCCGCTTGGAGACCTGCGAGAGCAATACGGTTGTGTAGGCCGTCCGCGCTGCGCACGGAGAGCGACGCTGTTGCGTCCAATGAAGACAGTTTATGACTGAAAGAAGCGCAGAGAAAACAGGCGGTGAGAGTGCGCGGAGAAAGGGGAGGGACGCGCAATACACACCTTGCGTACTTTCCGCGCCCTGCGCGGACTGCCTATACTCTCTCAGCCCTGCCTCAGCCGCGGCACGCCGTGGAGACCGCAGATTTCTAGAAACCTTCTAAACAAGGCATCGCCCAAGTTGTGCCCATTCCCCTTCACCCTCGCTTCACGCTAAAAAATTGCTCTTAACTAGCGCAAAGTGATTCCATGCTAACAAATTTGGTGAGATGTTGCCTTGGTACATCGATCAGAAAAAAATTCATTGCACGAATCATGCGTTGACATGCTAATAAAAAAATGAGCTGAATAAGCTGCCCAAGCTGCTAACCTAAAAGCGTTCAAAGACTGTTACTGAAATTGTGTAGAGGGAACTAATTTCCCCTCGTTGGCACATACTGTTAACGTTTGTCTTGCACGTAGTATTTGGTGTCCGGGCATGATGTTCATGGTAATTATAAAAATTGTACATCATTACTTTTTTTGTAGTGCAAGAGAACGATTGATCGCAATTATGTGAAAAGCGCAGTATAAGCTTAGTTATTTCCGGCAATCAAATATTCAATATTTGATTGCCGGAAATACAAATACATTGACCCAACAATATTTGCAGCAATCAAAGATTTGATTCATTCTGTGGAATGAGGGAAGATTTGATTATATTCAATGAGATTTGCTCTAAAACAGTGCAAATCTAGGAATCAAATTCACTTTCGGTTGCACTTGATCACATGTTCAGCTTCATTGTTTGACAATTCAAATCAGCGGAATGACGGCTCGTGAAAGAACATGGTTCAACAAAATGCACTATGACAAACTCGCACAACGGACTTTAATCTGAATGGGAAACATAAAAGCTGGCATCTGGCTTTTTTAGGTAGTACATCGCAGGCGGCGTTCTGTTCATACACCCATTTGCACGATTTTTAGACACCTGATGCTCCTGATTCTACTCATCTGTGGTGGAAGTGTAACTGCTGAGCCTTTCGAAGAGAAAATAGGGTTCATTTGCGACAAAGCTCAATTTGGTGAGTTTCAATTGAAAGCTTATAAAAAAATTTTGGTACCGTTAGAATTAGAGTAAAACTGTGAGGCAGCCTTTTACGACGTTTTCAGTGTGAGCTTTATATGTGTGTAGTATAGTATTAGGTGGCAGCACCATTAAACAGGAATGGATTCAAAAATCAAACTTGTTTATTAACTGCACTGAAGTGTTAAGAAAGAGAATTCCTACTTGGGAGTTCAATATTGTAAGCAAAACAAAACTTACAAACGAAAAAAACGAAGATCCTTCCATATTCCTTCGCAGTCAGCACACGCAGGACGAAAAAATGTCATAGAAAACTTTACAACAAATGTTTACTGCTCACACTCTTCTATTCTCAAAAATTGACCTTTCCTATCTTATATTAGGTAAACACCTCTTTGTGAGGTAGAATTCTTTTATTTCGCTAAGAATGCATGATGTTTTCAGTCGGTCGCGTATTTATCGAACACGACGCTCTAAAAGTAGATGGCGCAAGTAAATACACCATATTTCAAGTAAAGGTGGAATCTTGGAGCGAAGTCTACAAGCATGTAAGATACTCTAGACGAGGCTATTGACATTGATTTAATGGATTTAGGTTGGCCTCCAGACGCATGAAGTACTATATGCGCTATTCGAAAGACAATGGGACTTACGAGGAAAACTTCTACGAGGAGATCATCTAGTTATAGGAGGTTGAGATCTCTAGAAAAATTTTTTGGAGTTGTTCTGATGCCTATGATTCAACTTGCAGGAATAATACATCCGAAAGAAATTGAAGGAAGTATAGTCAAGTGTGTAATAGTGGAACACATGTGGCTTGAGCTGGCCAAGTCCAAGGTGATAGTTATCGAAGGTGATGGAGATCCATCATATAAAACTTATACGGGATTTTTCAAGCACTTATGTGACCTTCGTAGTGTTCTCGACACTCAAGAATGTCCTTATTGATCTACAATTGTGCTATGCCTAAGAGTCTTTTGTCACTGCTAAGTACAAAATCTCTCACTTCCTTCTCCCTAATGAATTCACAAAAAGAATGAAACCACCTTGTCATGTACTTATGTCACATCTACTAGCGCCACTTCAATTCTGCTTTGCTTTTTTCTTCGGTCTTTCTCTACAATCGCGTTGCTAGTTTGTATCAAAATCCGCTAGCGTCTCAGTATATTTTTTTTTAATTTGAAATTCTCAAACACAAGGGAAAAATACATAGACCAGACCGTTTGATCTATGTATTTTTCCTTTGTGTTTGAGAAATTCAAATTTCAAGCTGTTTTTCAAATTTTTCAAATTTCCAAAAGAATATACTGAGACGCTAGCGGATTTATGTCACTTATCCTAGTTCTTTGCTAAGTTTTCCAGCTTGTTCTTTTTAATGATTTTCAATAAAGTTTTGTTGAGATGATTCATGCACTATCCTATGTCAACAAGTCTGGTTTAGGCAGGCTTCAGGCAATATCAAGGGTTGACCGGATAAATATGCATTTGAAGGTCCAACTATGAATCTATTGCGATGGTCTGGTCCTTTAATGTTGCCTATAATAAAACAGTTTGGATCTGAAGTCCATAAAAAAAATTTCGAAGACGTTTCGCCTCAAGGACCACACCCTAACGCTTTTAGTATAGAAATTACAGTCAATATGCATATTGTGTTACTCTTTCCTCATTTTATAAAGCCGATACAGGAACTCAGCAGAGGTGGCACTTTCACATGTGGCACTGGATGTGGCTTTTTGAGAGTAGAGCAAAGAAATCGTTAATTCTCAGAGATGATTTCCGAAAATGTGATAAGTTATAATAGGACAGCTCTAACCCAGCTCAAATTTGAAGCTTCAACGTCATTTCATGAGTTACTGGCAAATTAACGCGTTTAAAACACAATCAGCAACTTATGCGCATACGATTTCGACATTTCGATTTTGTTAAAACAAAACTTTTTGTATAAGTTGAAAAAATTAGTCAGATAGTCTTGCTGTGCACCATTACGACGATAATGGAGGGAAGGGTACGAAAAAGCATGAAATAACTATTTGAATAGAAAAACTTGTTTTTCTATGATACATAGGTTGCTCTCTCGACCTGGGAGCACCCTGATGTTGTGCGGGAGCAAACGTGATTATAATTTTTCCTTTTATCACATATGTCAAAATTTCATAAGATAAACCTATCCTTTGTTTTCTTCCCTGCTTTGCTACGGACAGCTTGATGACACAAAACTCCTTTTTTTACCTTTCAATGTTTTATCTCCCTTGCTTGACTTTTCTTCACTTCCGTCCACTCATTCTTCGCAATGTCCGTACTTCTGCAAGCATCACAAAAGGCATTTCGTATTCTCCTGCGAAATCAAGGAAGACTTCGTTTCTAGAATTCTCAAACGCGCTAGGCCCTGAGCCGATGCCATGTACATACGGTATGCCGTTATCTGGACCTGTACCCGGAATAACGTTAGGTAGAAGCTCAAGAGTGATAAATCATGGAGGCAGAAGATCTGGTTCGAACCGTTGTAAGCAGCGTTCACAAGTCATTCGCTGAACTTCGAGCTTGCTTTATCCGATGTAATCAAGATGTACTGGAAGGATTGAAAGTATAAGTAGAAAGGGTTGAAAACACGATATTCTGGATTTTGGGGCCTGCTATTCCTGGCTTTTGTGGAAACCAAGTTTGAATAGGAGCATCAGCTGGGGTTTTGAGTAAATCAGGGCTATGTTGCTGGTTTGCTTTTTCATCTGAAGGGAGGGGTAAGCACTCAAAAATGTTAAAAAATTCCTAAACTTTGTTACTCTACTAATGTAGACTTTCGCAAATTTTGACGTGATAACGATGGCTAAAAATTTGCTCAGCACTTCCGGAGATCTAGAAAGCAATGTTGCAGAGAATTATAACTACATACTGAAAATGGGCACAAGCAAAATAACACTTCAAAATTTGTTGCAACAACAGAAAGTCTAGATCTGAGAAAAAAATGCTAATTTTCCAAATCAAAAATTATAGATGCATGTAACCAGCATGTTCAAAAATAACAAAAAGGAGTGGACGGACTAAAGCAGAGTTGAAGCAAAAAAAATATATTAGAGTGTCCCATAATTTTTTACCGCTTTTGCTATAGCCGTCTCTTTGTATTTTTTTTTCAATTGAAGCGCTTGTGTAATCATTCGACAGGGTACAGCAAGCTCTACAAGATGGCTATGAAAAATCCGCTTAAATCGCGTTTCTCACCGGAAGTTTTAAGCTGAAATCTGATAACAATCAAAAACGAACTTTCTCTTAAAAAATCATATCTCCTCTCCAAAATGTCTCAAATGTCCCCCATTTATCCTAGCTGATGCTTCATACATCACATTTACTTTACTAATTCTGTATTTTTTTCATGGCTAGAAATAAAGAAAAAATGGGGTAAGATGGCAAACTCCGCCTCTAGACATCCCAAGCTCACGCACGTGATCATATAGCTCATACATACAGAAGTAAAATTATGTATTTGAAACTTTAAAGGTGCCACAGTTTTCGAGATTTGCCGACGTTTAGGGTAAAAACGGTGAAAAATTATGGGATACCCTAATATTAGGTCGGTCCGAGTTATGTCAGTTTTTAAAAATAACCCGCAAATCCCGTACAGTTAAGATAAGCAAACATTGCAAGCCGCTTTCTGTGCAAATTCCTTCCTCCTTCTAGCTGCTATAAATCCAATGAAATTTGTTTGAAGAGTGCTGAGATAATAGCTGAAAACTGCAGCCCTTCATTTTCACCATAGCCAAATTTCGCTTATTTTCAAAATTTTTATATGAGAGTTTTGGGAGAGCTTTGATAGCCAGGAAATACAAAGCTTCTGCCAACTGAATGTTTTTTGCAACTCTGTGGCTTGTATTTCAGAAGTTTTAAAATGTAATTTTTGAAGTGACCAGATTTTATCCTCGGCGTACTACCTCGTAGAACACGAAATGGTATACAGTTTAGCTACCTTTCGGCGTAAGTTTTTTCCCTTTCTAACGGTTTCTTTTTCCTGCGAGATGCGCGAAATTTGAGTTGAGAGTAGCAATTTCCTCAATTTCACGAGTACGCCTGACGCACTTTATGTTTCAAAATCTTCATATTTTGAAGCGAGAATCGCGCCATCGCCACCTTTGTGTTTAAATCTTTTGTAAATGTAAACCATTGTCTGATTTTGTTGTATGCAAAGTTATGAGCAAACTTCACAATGTGGATTGTGAATATATACAGCAGCAATAGCATATGGCATAAAGCGTATAAAGTTTGCTGCTATAAAATACGTACAGGGTATGTAAGGTTCAGTCAAACGGTATTTTATATCGTAAGCGGCATGTTTCCATTTGCTCGTCATTTAATGTGTAAGATTCACTCTGTTTTTCTGATGCATTACAACGGTTACTGTAGCTTTACAATAGTAGAAATCAAATAAGCATGTTTCATGTAATATCATCTTTGCATACTATGCACTGCTATCTGCTATACTATAAGCTCAAATAATCTGTCAATCTTCTGGGCGAGGAGTTATGAAATCTTTTATGAGTAAAAAGTTAAATGCAAGAGTAAAATAAGACGTGATATTTTTTCTAGGGCTTAACTGATAGTCGGGTCACTCGGTGCAGCAAAGATTCCTGGTTCAAATATACCAACTCGCTGCTGCCCTATTTCAACGTCAGGAAAAGGTTACGATCGATTCTATACTAATCTTGCACTTGAAATTTTACTCACGAAACCTTTATAACTCCTCAATTAGAAGCCCGCAGAAGAAAGCAAAGGTTGCTTTGAAATCAACGTTCCAAGCTCCACAAGAAAATGTAAATCTTATTCTAAAAGGCCACTTTGACTAACCTTCCTTCCTTTGTGAGTTAATTCTTCGATAAAAATAAGACTCACATAGAAAAAAAAGTTAGATTGCATTTCCACGCATGTTACCTTCCCTATCTAGTAGAATATGCTAGAGTCTGTATCCCATTATCACTAACTCTTCTTGACTTTCGGAATTTTCGTAATGATTCTCACAATCAGCGATGATGATCGTTTTCTCCTACGCTGGAACGAAACACTTTGCAGTATTTCAAAAAATCTTTGTTGACATTGAGGCTGCACATGCATCGAAACCCCAGAAGAATAACCTTTGAAAACGGTAGGGCTTGTGCATATTGTCTGTTTTTTTTTCAGCGGTGAAATTCAAGGCTTACATTAACTCTCTTAAGATAAGAAAGACTTTTCAGCGCTTATTATAGTTGGATAGCACCAACTCTCAAGGAGACAATTCTACAAAATTGGTGGGTTCTGAAAATAAATCAGAGAGAGTTTTAATAAATTCCTTGAAAAATTTTGTTCTTTTCTGCTCTATTCGCTGTTGAATTTTTTTTGACATAATACTATGACTGTCTTTTTTCTGGTATCAAACACTGGAACATGTCAGAACTTGGATAGAAATAAATCACCTTGCTAAACGTCACTTGCTTTGAAGCTTGACATCTCAAGTTACTTCGCGCGATCTTTTTTGCCAAGTACATCTAAACAATTCAATCGTTATCCATTCAATGCATTGCTCAATCCGCCGTGTTTTGACTACAATGCTTAAGCCACGTCAGCACAAATCGTCAAAATGACGACCAAATCTACTTTTGGACGCTGCTATCAGACGGTGAAATTATGGTCAGTGTAGTCCAAAATGAGCAGATAAAAATTTATTGCCGTTTCAAAATTGTCGTGTAATTAAATGTGTTCTTTTCATTGCTAAAGTACGTATCCATCCTGTACTTGTCTCGCTGCTTTGAGTGGTAGTACATTCGAAGTGCGAGCGGAACAGTCCAATAAAGTGGACGAACAATTCACAAGCATATCGCTATTCTCGGATTGACGCTACCAGGAAGTGGTCGACTGCAATAAGCTGAACATTGAAGAGTTCTCTCAGGGGGTGCGAAAGTTTTTGCGCATCATTTTCAAAAATTCAT